ATATTGCCAGCACCAGCCCCTGGTGGACACAGTGCCCAGTTGTGCTGCAGGTTTCTTCTCTACCAAGTCTCTGCCCCCCATGCTGTTGGCAGGGGAATACATTAAGATCCTGAAAAGTGAAGAAGGCCAGATGCTCAGAAGGAAACATCAGACGACTGTCAAGCTGCTTCGACAGATGCTGATGGATTCTGGCTTTCCTGTGGTTCACTGTCCAAACCACATTATTCTTGTCCAAGTAAGAAAATTCATGCACATTATGCTGTTGGAATCTTTAGCTGACAGGACAGTTGGTTCTGAAACAGGCATTTGATGCCTGGATAATGTTTTTTTACCGTATACTCACTAAACACTTAGTTAGGCCCACTTTGCTAGTAACAAGTTGGACTCGCTTTTGATTTTTTTTTTTTATACTTATATGATTATATTTCATATTTGCATTTACAAGTAGTTCAAAATGTGTACCTAATAAACTGGCCATGAGAGATTCTGTAAATCTCTCTTATAGAATGAGTTCCGTCTTACACTCAAAATTCAATTTGAGACTAAGACTGTGGGAAATGCAGAGAAGAACACTGTGGTTTGTGACACTATGATGTCTTGTGACAACATCAACGTTCAGGCGATTGACTACCCCGCCGTGGGTAAAGGAGAGGAGCTGCTGCGCATTGCCAGACCACACTCCCCAGATGATGGACTACTTTTTTAGTGTCAGTTTAACAATTCAGTTGCCAATCCTGTTTTTGTTGAGTTCTCCTCACCATATTGAAGTGTAAAATGCAGAAAAGTTGACTTTTATGCTCAATAATATGCCTGGCCATTAAGTAACAAAGATGATGAAAGGCATTACTTTATAGCTTCATCAGATAGTGAACCAGCTAATGGTTTAAAAAACTCGCTTATGATAGGATTATTTGGTCAGTATTTAAGCCGTTAAGGTTATCCAACATCTGTAATTCTCAGTCGTCAGTGCATCTGTTGTGTTGCTTTGTCTTCACAGATCGGCTGATGAAACATGAAAGGAAGTGGGTTTGGACCTGAGGTCGCCCGCCTTAGCAGAGTGCAACTTCTGCCAGCAACTTGTTCACTTTGAAAGATGAGTGTGAGAGAGAAGTCTTACTGCAAAGTCCTCAGTCCCATGATATCAGCAGTTGCCTGACATCACCAAAAGCACTGAATTCTCATGATATTAAAGCTGTATTGTTTTTTTTGTTTTTTTTTAAATAAACATGCGGTCTGTGTGTGGTTAAAGCACGAATGAACTCTTTTACATTTTTTAAAAACTACAGCTTTTACATGAATTAGCTGTTACATGTATGTGCAAAATGTCCTTTTTTTGTTTCAGAGGTACTGAACTTAAACTTTAAAAATACTGAACATAGTTTCCATCAGAGGTTTTTATGTTCACATATATTTAAATAAATGATCCGTGTTCCTAGTCTACTGGATTTCTTTGATTTTCTAATATTTTTAATTGTATTTCTTTTTTAATAATATATTTGAGTATTCTGGGAAAAGGATGACAGCAGTGGACAAATATGTGGACAGATGTTCTTGCGTTCTTCTCAGATTAATCTTTTCAGCTGCTGTTTGTTGGAAGAGTTTTGTTACTCTACCTTTCACTTCAGTCTTGAACTGTGAATCCAATTATGACCAGGCCATAGTTTTCAAATCTTCTGTCATTCTTGGAGTGTAGAAACCTTTACCCCTACTTCCATCTACTGTTTTCACTCATACATACATTGTGCACATCAGATTCAGCTGTATGCAGGCAGTGTAGTCCATGGCCATGTCAATCTCATGTCATCCTAACAAATTTGTTTTCATTTTATCTGGCCAATGATTTGCTGCCGATATTTCTCAAGCTTCAAATCTTTTTCTTTGGTTACGTTTAATCTTATAATTTTGTGCCATTTAAAAATCATTGTTTTTCTTGGACATTGTATTCAAAGGACTACTTCATACTGTGTTCTTCAGACATTCAGCCTCTTGTGCTAAACAAAAAGCATACGTCTGCTTTCAGTGCAAGGTATGCACAATTTCCAACACAAATTGTGCATGGTGTGACTTTTTTAATCCAAGGTGGCCACTATGCTTTCTAACACATCTTCTTTTACTGTGGCTGACCTTCTGTTTCAGCTTAAATTCAGTAGCCTACTAATGGTCTTCTGTATTGTTCCATATTTCCAAAGGCTCACATTTTCATTTTTCATTTATTCCAGTAAGTAAGGTTGCTGTGTGCTGGTGCTGGGTTTGTTACATATATCAACCCCATGGTATGAAATATCCTGCACTCTGATACACAGTTATCCAGCAGCCCAAAATGATCTCCGATCAGATCCTGTTTTATGTCTTCGTGGGCTCATCCAGTTTTATTTTCATACATTTATATGACAGTTAGGGTATCTGTGGTGCATATGTGCTGTACTGATATATGAGGAATTTTATTACATGCTTTACTCCTGACAGAGATATATCTGTTGCAACTAAGGCATGCTAAAGGGTGATTGCAATTCCGTTTTACAGATTAGGAAATAAAATAAATAGCATAAGCAAAAAAATTTTTACTGTTAAAATATTCTTCTGTTTTCATTTTTAATGCGAAACATATGAAACAACAGATACAGATCTTCAATTTAGTAGTCTTCTGCATGCAAAATGATCTTAAGGGCAGATTTGTCTTCATCTGGTTTTTCATTCATGAAATGCCCTTTGTGACATTCATGGCTTCACCACATGGAGGCACACTGGGCCGCCTCTTTGCAGCTGTGAGGCAGTGACATCAGACACCACCTCCCTTTGCAGATGACTCATAACTGGTGCAGCAGCTTTTGTAATGAACCACTAGAGGGTATCAGCAGAAAACAGGATATTGTGTTTCCCATCTAGATAACACGTGAGATCACATTGGTTGTATTAAAATCCGACAAACACACTTCCACACAGCTCACAGCATGGCACAACTGTAAAATCAGAGATTTTCGATACTAATTTCAATTAAATGAACTACTGACTTAATCTGCTATAACTGTAACAGCAGTATTATCAGTATTTTTTTCTTACGTGATAGTGGTGCTCTATGCTGTAGGCCGTGATCACCATGATTAGATTAACATACTCCAACGCAAAGACAGAAATCAATGAAGAGGAAGCACTTGCTTTATTGCTCATTTCTTAATTCATCTAACTGTGCATCCGGACATTATAGGAGGGTGCTTGTGCATCCACCGTGTTTGCGTGGAAGCCCTTGAAGCAGCACTTGACATGAAAGACGTGGGATTCTGCAGCAGAGACGTTTCCCCTCTTTGCTCTGGGAGAATTACCATGAGCTCACGTTTAGAGCCCGTTATGTAACCGTGTCGGTGGAAGTGGAGTAGACCACCAATATGATGCAAGTCTTGCTAGCTCAGAGCACACCCATATTTGGTTTTATTTAAATGAATGTCCTTGTTATGCATTGAGTTGACTTAGTAGAGTTTGATTTATTACATTATTCATAGATATTATCACACGAGACGTATGATACAGAGGCTATAATTTGGCATTTAGGGTCTTGTGCATTGTTTGACCTCATTATCACACATTACTTCCCTTCCCATCACTGTCCTTTGTAGATATGGGCTGTTCAGTTCCTTATTGGAAAGTTTTAGGGGAGGTCCAACTTTTCTACACTTCCTGTAAGATAGCTGAACTGGAGCAGAAATCATGCTGGCATGAAGGCCCACAGGCAGTGTGTGTGTGTGTGTGTGTGTGTGTGTGTGTGTGTGTGTGTGTGTG